GCTGAGCTGCTGGAAGCCCAGTATGCCCCCTTTCATCTTTCTTTCTAAAGATGCAGTGGCTCCAGGTGAACACCCACTGCTCCCCTCCTCCTCACCAATATCCTCTGCATTCTCTAAGATTCTCAATGATCCTGAGTCTTGCTGTGATAGTGTAGTTATAAACCAAGCACACTATTACAAAAGCTGCTTTTACTTTATTGTCCCACTCTGTTCCTTTTGGGGAGTCTCTTATTTAGTATGAACTCGGGGTATTCATTCAACCAAAATTACACTCTTCCTAACTCTCTCCAAAATAAAACAGTAGGCAACAACAAAATATTTGCCATAGCAATATTCAATACATATCATTTTTCTCTCTCCAGGAACTGTTTTAGCCAAACCTAGATTTCAGGAAAACAGTATTTTTCTCCATGTGACTGTTATAGTTATTTAGGTTAGAATGAATAACAAAATGAGAATCATTATAAAGAGTTCCTTAAAATATTTGGTATTAAAATGAGCCTTTCCACAGATCAAATTGAACTTTTTGGCTGTTGGTAAGACGCACATAACTAAGACCTCTTTAGTTTATTAAAAACATCACTTTCACTCATAAGCCTGGCACATGGAAGACATTCCACAAATGTTTACTGAACTGAATGTAGAGCTTTCCTTTTTCAGGGAGAAGGAGCCCCCTGAGCAGCAGAAATACTTCTGAGTGTCTTACTTCAGTGAGTCTATCCCAGTGTCCAACCCTGGCTGTTTCCCATCTCAAAGGCACATTGAGAAACATTTAGAAGCAACTCAAGTTGTATGTTCGTCATTAATACTGTTCACCAAATATTTACAGCTTTCTACAATATGAGCACATGGAAGGATTGCACTTCTGGGCCCCTTGTGGTTGATGAGGTGGTGAATCAAGGGCTTGTGAACAATAGTGATGTCTGTCACTCCAGGCCAGAGCATTTAACTGTCAGGGCAAGACTCTCCGGGGCTGTCCTTTCCTCCATTATGGTAATTAATAACATTCAAGAATGGATGCTAGCCAGTATCATCCTGATGTAGCGTTGACCCTGGAGGAACCAGGATGGTCATGTGTTATGAGCAATAAATAAGTCTCTGTTGTTTGTGAACCCTAAAGATTTGGGGTTGTTATTTCATCATGTTCTGGTCTAGCCTGACTGATAACATTTCTGACCAGAGTACTTTGCCATAATTTACCACATCTTCCCAAACCCAGCTGGTGTAAAATGAAAACATAGACAACACTTCTCAAGGATCTCAAAGATGAGGGAGATCATTAAGTTGTTCAAGCGTTAATTAGATCTGTTGTGTGGCTAGATTCTGCTTTGCCCATCTCTCATTCTGTTACCACCAAGCTGGAATGATTGGCCAAGGTGACTTCCTTCTATAACTGGATCCTAGAAGTGAACACCTTATAGAATAGCTTGCAGCTGGAAGGACACTGAAGGCTTTTTGATACCTCCACCCAAATATTCTCTAATCCCCACAGGAAAATATCCCAGGGTGAGTATATTGCCCTATAAAAATGCTTTAGGATTTTTAAAAAAATGAAATCAGCCAAACCATAATAAGAGTTGATGTTGGAGACTGTTTAATGTAGCAGTTCATAAATTGGGTATGTCAAAATTGTAGAAGCTTAGTCCATTAGTCAGTCAACAAATATCTTAGTATCCACTCTATTACAGGCTTTGTACTAGGTGATTGGGATACTAAAGTACTAATAAACAAGAAAATGACAAGTCCCTGTTCTCAAAAAGCTTTCATTATAATGGAGGTAAACAAAGCAATAAGCTTAGATGCAAGCAAACAAAAATGAATAGTGTAATGAATATAGATCAGGATTGATGAACTATTACCTGTAGGCCAAATCCAGCCTACAACCTATGAGCTAAGAATTATTTTTTTACTTTTTTTGTTAATCCTCACCAAAGATTGTGGGCTTTTTTTTTCACTGATTTTTAGAGAGAGTGGAAAAGAGGGGGAGAGCGAATGCCCCCTACCAGGTCTGGGGATTAAGTCTGCAACCAAGGTATGTGCACTTGACTGGAATTGAACTGGGACCCTTCCGTCCATGGAAGATGGCTTCCCCTAGTAGCAAAAACAGTGTTGGCCAGAACGTGAATAGCAGGACAGTGAGGTTGCAGGTGTTTATTTGCAAATGTCCAGTGTATCTCACTATTGTACTCAGGACTGTCACATACATGTATAGGTCTATGTGGATGGAGCATCCTAGAGTTGTGCAGTGCATACCTGCAAAACTGTATATGACTATACTACCTGTATAAAAAAAAAAAGCTAAAGAACACAGACACAGAAATAGATCTCACATCTAGATGGTTAATCTGGTTATATTATTGAATGTGTAAAAAGGCATTGGGTTAAGGAGAAAATGTGTTCTGCTTAGATTGAGAAACTTAGCAGCTAAATAGTATTTACAGGTTTGAGTTGAGATTTTCAAACGTATTTATCTCAGTTGACAAATTCCATGCACTGCTTACCCCAAACAGCTCTCTCGAGTACAAGTGGCATGGCTAATGAAGTTAGGATGCCATATACTCAAATGTCATTAAACACAATTGTCCAAGGTATTAGAAGATGTTTACATGGTTGCTACAGAAAAAAAGTATTCACAGATTCATGTAACTATAGTAGAGGCAACTATATTCTAAGATGGGAAAGAAAAAAAAAAACAATAGGAAAATGTTCAAGACCAGAAAGTAAGGACTATGGGGGAATATGGGGGAAGGGTATTCTGGGGATAGAACTGGCATTGCCATCCATTCTGGAAAAGAGGTGGCTAGAAGAGGGGAGAGTAGAGAGAAAAACCTTCCCCTGGACCTACTAATTAAGAGGACCCTGAAAATGTTGTATAATAAATAAAACAAATTCATCTCAAAAAGTAAAATTCATATCCAAGTATTCAAACCACTACTATCCTGAATATGATTTCATACTAAACTTTGATTTAAACGAGAGGAACATTAACACTAAGAAACATTTATTTCTTTTTAGATTTTCTCTTAAGAAAGAATTGGAAGGAGAAGGAAAAGTATTATAAACAATACTGGAGGCCCAGTGCATGAAATTCATGCACAGGTAGGGTCCCTAGGCCTGGCTGGTGATAAGGGCCGATTGGGGACTTCCAGATGCCAGTGGGGCCTTCCTTCCAGCTGCCAACCAGGACTTTCCTTTGTTCCATGCCACCCTCTGGTGGTCAGCGCACATCATAGAGAGCGATCAAACTCCCAGTCTCTGGTCTAACTCCCAAGGGGACACTCTGCATAATATATGCATGATAAACCCCCTTATCCTTCCCTCACCACTCAGTCACATCTATACCAAAATTTCTGTTTAACTATAGGTAATCTTTACTTAACATCAGACATATTTAATTTAGCTGAGGATTGGGTGAATATATGCTGAATATATGCTGAATATATGTAGCTTTGCTTTTTAAAGGAAAGTCCAATATAGATGAAGAAAATCATTAATAATATCATTAAACATATAATGCTGTATCTTCCATGTGGAAGGACATGTTTTCTATCACATGCAAATTCAACTGCTTTCCTCTGTTGCCCCATTAAATGAGTTTCTGTGGCAGCAGTAAATTTGAAACCTTTAAAAACTCACTGTGCCGAGGGCACCTAAAGGATTCTTGGTGTCTGTGCTCTTTAAGAATTGAACAACTTCAAGAACAGTACTTAATTACAACAAATCAGTCTCTTCCTGTCCCATCAAATACACTGACGTTTACAAAGCACAACGGGAACCTTTCAAAACTCCATGCAATAATACTGGGGTGGGGATGGGGTTAAAAGTGCAACTCCATTAACTCTGCACAGCTAAACCTGAGTTTTGTGCACGTAAAAGCTCAACAGTCTAAAAAGTCTTACTTGTTTCAAACAAGTCAGATTTCTCTCTCTCCTGTTAAATAGGCTCAAAATTGGATTCCTTTCCACCTGGCATTGAAATCCAACATGGAGGCTGGTGGCAATGAGGGGGCGCTGAATAATGGTGACCTCTCCTGTGTGTGTTTGGAATCTGGAGAGTTAGAAAAGTATAAACTACTGGACAAGGTGTCTCGCTAGCCCTAGCACAGAGTTCACCCTTTAAAGATATACTGCATATCTGTTTATGTACTGCGTGTTTATCTGTGCTTTAGACATTACAAGAATAAGACTTTCCAGCCCCAAGGACCCATTTCCCCTGTTGGGGGCACAGTCACCCTGGTGAAAATGCATGTCTTAACAACAGCTACAAAAACTCAAGGCCACATTTGATTGATTGCTCTCAGCCAGAAATTCCTAAATCAATAATGATTAGCACTGCTTCAGTTAAAACAACTATATCAGAATCATTTTCAAAATAAAAAGCAAAAAAAGTTCTATGAAATACATAAAACATATTGCTCATTCAGTAACATTCTGATTTATTTTTTACATTACTCTCAGTTTATTGGGCTCTATCTAATGCTTGCTCATAGAATCACAGATTCAATGACTGTTGAATTTTACAAGTTTCAAAGAGCAAAAAACTAAATTAACTTCCAAGAAAATATTTTTCTAGATGGTGGCGATGAGTAATTTGGAAAAACAGATAGAAAATTTCTGTGGCAAACACATAGGTTTCCATGGACAGAAGTAATGAACTAACTAAATTAACTACTATTTGTTGCTCACAAACGACCTGAAAATAAATGGCCACAAAGTTGTGTGTCACAAAAATAAGTCAGTGCTTCATTAGAAAATCGAATCACTATGCCATCCACATATAAAATTGAGGGGGAAATTGCCCATTTGAAAAGATTTCAGAATATTCATTCCTATTCTTTTACATCCCAAAACACCCCTCAGCATTTTCAAATACTCATAGAAAGCATCATAGGATGCCTAAGAAACAGAACACTCATTAACAAACGGAGGCTGCAAAAAAGAAAAGTCTTCCATGTAAGCCAATAAAAAGTCTACATCATATTAAAAACTGAGCTCACCTACCTTTGTTGATCCCTGTTCATCGCTGGAGTCTTGCACCAATTGCAGAGAAAACATCATGAAAATATTCACCACTGCCCACTGTCTGTACATTTTGAACACTTGAATACCCACTGATTAGCAAGTAGTTGACAATAGATAGCTAGAGAAAACGGTTTCAAAAGGCATTCTCCAGAAGGAAAGCCTGAAACCCCAAGATTTCACATGGAAAAATAAACAATCAGTTGTGATAAAAATCCAATGAAATGATTTCAATTAGTCAAGGTACGCTTTTGCACAATCTTAGGCAGACAGAGAGATGAAAACAATTTAAATGTTCTCATGCTCCAGGAATAATCAGGAGGTGGACATGTTTTCCCTTGCAATGAGAAAGCACTTTAAATCCATTCCATGCCCAGCAAATTAAAAAAAAAAATCTCTCTACCCTATGCCCCAGGTTCTAGCTGCTTTGTAAAGAGGTGGTGTGGCCACCAAGGTTTGCAGCTACAGAAAAGCTGGAACCCAATTCTTGATTCCAACTCTTTTCACAACCCTCATGGAAGCTTGCGGGAGCATGTGTCTTAAATCTGACACAGATTTTGGCAGAATGTGCTGGGAAGTCTTGGCTGTTATCCTGTCACATCCCTACCAATAGCGAGGATGTTTTAAAAACTGACTCCAATGTGCAGGACTGCTGTTATCCTAACGCAGATAACCTGTAATGTGAAACCTCTGCACATAGGCATGACTCTGTATTGAAATTGCAGTGCTCAATAAGGGTCCTCAGATGCTCATGACATATCAACTGCCAGTGACACACAGAAGCAGTCAAATATGCTTTAAAATCTCAGATATTCACAAAAATAACAAAATGTCCATACACACATGAAAAGCAAACATACATAAAATGAAGGGTACTGATTTTTAAAGAAGCAACCATTAGGTTTATTTGTATGTACCAGGAAATATCTCATGTACATTGCTATAAAAAACCATGCTGTCACATGTGTGTGGAAATCTTCAGAAGCACTGATGAAGTCAGCATTGGAGATTGAAGGCATTGACTGAATGGGTGCCACAAATGGCATCATTTCAGAGAGCATGGAGACCTGCTCTTGTGCTTGCTTTTCACTAGTTTCCAATCTTTGACTTCCAGATCTTGGCTCTCTCAAATCCATTTTTTGCATTTCTGAAATCAAGAATGGCCTGAGAAATCTCTTCATTAGTGTTCATCACGAATGGACCTAAGGCAAAAAGAGACATTCAGAGAGTTCTGGGTGACGACTACATGTGCTTTTACCACTAGAAATGGTATATGCTCCTGTCGTTCTTAACTTTAAACAATTCCAGGCACATCCGAACAGTGAAAGATTATTTTCACAGCATCCAATCTCCGAGGATGGTAGCACATGTTTCTTAACTAGGGCTGTGTTTGATTATAAAGACCGAACTTGAGATAAACAAAGGCAATTACATCTCATTCATCCATTGCAAAGTTGTCATCAATAATTGCAGTTTCTTTATTCAAAACATTCTTAGGTTTGGTTCTATAACAATCATTTTGTAGTTGTTAGGCTTTTTTTTTTTCTTCCTTATTTTTGGAGGTAAAATTGACACGCAACATTATATTAGTTTGGGGTGTAAATATAATGATTTTATGTTAGTATATATTGTATAACGATCACCACAATAAATCTAGTTAATACCCTTTTTTTCTTGTGATGGGATTTACTGTAGTGCTAGCTTTATAGCACTAGCTAATGTCAGTAATTGAGCCAAACTGGTACAAAGAATTGGCAAATCTCATTCTAATTTGGTGTCTACACAGTATATGAGACTATGTACTTAAATGACAGGTATAAGTCATTTTGAAAAATATGTTTTTATTGATTTCAGAGAGGACGGGATAAATAGAAACATCAATGGTGAGAATCATCGCTCGGCTGCCTCCTGCCTGCCCCTTACTGAGGATGGAACCTACAACCTGGGCATGTGCCTTGACCAGAAATAGAACAGGAACCTGGTTCATGGATTGATGCTCAAGCACTGAGCCACATTGGCTGGGCATGTAATTTTTGAAGACTAGTAACAGTTTGTTGACAATAAACAGGAAATTATAAAAATTCCAAATCAAGAAAACATGATATTTTGGATTTTTTAAAGCTGGCAAACTTTTTCTGTAAAGGGACAAATAGTATATATTTTAGATTTTGTGATTAGTCCGTTTCAACTACTCAGCTCTTTCATTGAAGCACAAAAGGAGCCACAGTCAATATGAAAATGAACAGGCATAGCTGTGTTCCAATAAAACTTTCTTTACAAAGATATGCAGTGGTTTGCTGGTCCCTTTGCCTAATTCCTAGGTTTAAATTCAGGTTTTTCTAAAAGTGCAGAAGTCTGTAATGTCTGACTCTTCCCTTTTTAAAACACATTTTAGCAACAAAGGGACATTGTCCTTGACTGTACACTCCCAAGATCTCCGGGATAAACAAGACCAGCTCATTGGTGGCATTTACATGTCTTGGAAGCAGTTGACAAATTTGTCCATTCAGTATATTTCTTCTACCAGTCTGCAGAGGGTCCTGACATTCCTTTTATAAAAGTTCCTCATCTAAGGGGCCTTCTTAGCGAGACCCAAGTTAAAATAGAACTCTATTACTTAGAATTTATTCACCACTGTTAGCATATCAGGTCTTTGACTCTCACTATAATATGCCTTGATTATGTTGAGGCCTTTGGAGATGTTGCAAGGAATAGGATTATCATTCAAGGAGAAGAAACAGGCAGAAAGCCTCTGAATTCATTTATTCATTCAATTACCTACCTATTGAGTATTTATTGAGTGGCTATTAAAGGACAAACATTGTGCTAGGAGCTAATGATTAATGACAGACTCTCTTCCTCCAAGGATTTCAAATCTATCACACAGACAGATATGAAAACAAATTATTACAAGCACTGTGATACATGAAGTGACAAAAGTATGTAAAATGTATGGAATCAGTACAGAAAGGGGAAGAAAGGTCCAGTAAAGGATTCACAAAGGAGGTGATATTCAAACAGGATATGTGAAGGAATGGCATTTTGGGATTAGCATATTATAAAAAATTGAGAATGGAGGCACAGTGTTTGAAGGAAGGATCAGAGGGAGGAAAGAATTGGGGGATATGATATATAGGAAGAGGCCAGACACCTCGACACTTTGAATTCCATATACTGAAAGATGTTTGGACATAATTCTGTAGGTGACCAGGAATCACCGAGTTAAGTAGAGAATAACATGATCTGATTTGCAGTTATGAAGAAGACTCTGGAATCCAGATAGAGAATATGTCTAGTCTGGGAGACTGGCTGATGGTAGGATTGTTAAGGATAATTGAGATACAGGCCATAGGAGGCTGTGGGGAGAGCAAGGATTTCATTTCTGGCTATTTTGACATGAAGGTGCTAGAGACAATAAAATGGCTTCCTGCCAGAGGTGGTTAGTACATTGTCGGAAATATAGATTTGGGGTTCATGAGAGAAATTTCATCTGGAGTCTGGAGATGGAGATTTGGATGCTCTCAGGTAGGAAAAATGAGAGAACCCTCATGAGTGAAATAATTAAGTCCAAAAGCGCACCCTGGAGAAGCCATGTTTTTAAAACACACATGGAGGAAAGTATTGAAACTTGGAAAATGAGAGCAGGACTGATTTCCTGCATATTACAATTTTGCTATAGTTTAGACTTGTGGAACAATTCTCTCATCCCCTAATTATTTTCCTGTTAAATCAATGCACTTCTGGGCTTCCATTTTGACACTTTTCTGGGGGTATGTTGGCGAGCCTCTCAGTTTATAGTGTACACATGAATCATCTGGAATCTTATAAAATTTTATATTTTGATTCGGGAGGTCTGGAGTAGGTCTGAAACACTGCACTTGTAACTATCTCTCAAGTGATGCTGATGCTGCTAGTCCACAGACTACACTTTGAGAATGAAGGAAAGTATTACTGGAAGCTTGGAGCCCTCCAAAGTCAGATTGAGGAAGCTTATCTCCTCAAATCCTCAAGCAGAAAAAGAAAACTGAAACCAGAAAGCAAGTTTTGTGTTTATTTTTCCTTTTTCTTATGTTCTTCTTTTCTTTCTATTGCATTACCAAATGTATTTATTTTTTAAATTGAGGTATAATAAGCATAATATTAGTTTCAAGTATCCAACATAATGATTCAATATATGTAAAATGAGCACCACAACAAGTCTACTTAAAATGCATTACACAGCTACAGCCTTTTTCTTGTGATGAGAAATTTTAAGATTTACTTTCTCAGCAACTTTCAAATGTGCAATATAGTAATATTAACTATCATTGCCAAGCTATAGATTACCTTCTCCAGAAAACATTTTTTCCATTGATCAACCATAAGGGTTATAAATAAGAAAAATGTTTGCTAGTTGACAATAATGCCATAAATCCTCTTTCAAACTACAGTTTTTATCTCTTCTATAATTGAGCCTTTGAACTCCCTTGTAATAAAAATGGTGTGCATTTAATCTCTCATGACATAGACTCTTGGTATAGTGGAGAGACCACAAAACATGGCATCAGGAGTTAGTGTTCAAATCCCAGCTCCACTGTTAACAATCATATCCCATTAAAGAAGTCACAGGGCAGAGTGAGGGGCAACTGGCATTGTGCAAAGTAGAGGGGATGGTTGGAAACCAGAGAGCCTGAGTGTGAATCCAACTATGTGGCCTCAGGCAAGCCAATGAAGCTTTGCATCTCTGTTTCCTCACTTGTAAAATGGGGATGATAGAACCTTCCTCATAAATTTGTTCTGAAGATTAAATGTATTTATATTTGAAAGCATTTCAACCAATCCTAGTAAATAGTAGATGCTACTCAAGGATTTGCTATGTAAATAAGTAAAATATTGAGATTTCATTTTCCTCATTCATAAAAGGGCCATGACTACATCAACACTACAGATATTCCCTATTCCAACAATTTATGACATCCTGCACTTAATTTTAGTCTCATAATTAAGGACATTCCATGATAAAAGAAACAAAGGCCTTAGCTAATTCATTCCCAAGTAGTGGATAGATGGTTGTGGCTATCATTAAACACAAATAAGTACTAAAATAACTTAAATGCCTGAATTTTTTAAAAGTTTTTTTTTTAAACAAACAAAATGCTTTTCATTAACTAAGATTTCAAGGAACATATCTTTTGGGCTTACCATGTTGGACAACTGGTTCTCCTAATGGCTCCCCAGCAATTAGAACGAAGTGGCTTCTCTCAGGATCCTAAAGTCAAGGTGGAAAGCATCAGTCAATAAACATGCTTATTTTTTAACTAGAGGCCCAGTCCACGAATTCATGCATGGGTGGGGTTCAGCTTGCCCCAATCCAGGCTGATAGGCCAGCTGGGGGGAGGGGACACAGGAGGTTGGCCGGCCAACCCTGCCCTCTGGTCAAACTCCCAGTAGAGGGGACAATTTGCATGTTAGCCTTTTATTATATAGGATTTTAAATTAGGAATAATTTGAAACTAACATGCTAGAAAAATGGACAAAGTTTCTAATTCTAAATATAAACTCAAGATATATTATCTGTCCAGCACTCAATATGGAAAGGCTTATTCCTTAAGGTTTTTGGTGGCATTTAGAACATAAGTCTAGACTATGAAAAAATTAACCTTCTCAGATAAGGAAGAATTTAAATTAAGATTTTCCTTAACTAGAAACATCTTTAAGAAACTGTGTGACTGACCTGGCTATGAATTGACTATGTGATTATAGATTTGTAATTTTGCACTAACAATATAATTTTGTTCAACATAACGTGCCTCTCTATTTTAAGCCAGATCTATACAGAGGAAGACCTGGCAGACCTCAGATTTAGGTACTAAGTGTTCATCTAAAATTCCATTTTAAAGTAGTACTTCCTGGTAACTACTGAAGTCCTTCCTCCTGGGTTGATTTCTGTGTCTAAGACGCCCCTTGATTTTCAGTCTAAGGATTTTAGAAAAATAATAGTGTCTTATACATGGAAAAATATGGTAGTTTGCTACTCAGTAATAAATAACTGAACATTATATATATATTTTTAAATATATTTTATTGATTTTGTAAAGAGGGGAAGGGAGAGAGATAGAAAGCTAGAAACATCGATGAGAGAGAGTCATCGATCAGCTGCCTCCTGCACACCCCCTACTGGGGATATTCCCGCAACCAAGGTACATGCCCTTGACCAGAATCGAACCCGGGTCCCTTCAGTCCCCAAGCTGACGCTCTATCCATTGAGCCAAACCGGTCTCGGCTGAACATTATATATTTCTTTTGAGATGTCTCTTAGGTTTATCTGATTTAGAATAAAACAATAAGTAAAGCCATAATTATTAAATACTTTTTTAAAAGCCTTAAAAATTTTTAAAGCTTCACCAATATTCTAAAATCATAGCATAATTCTAAATATGTGATAAAATAATATGTTATATATTTTATTTCTGTTTTTACTAATATAAAGCTCTTTAATTAGAAATCATTATAATGTTACTGGTACCAGAGGAGTTATCACTGAGGTCAATAAAAATGAATAATTAATTCTTTAATTTTCCATATAGTTAAAAAGTTATATTTTATGGGACTAAAATTTATTTTTCCTTCTGCCTCAAACTTTAAAAAATTAAAAGTGAATATAGGGTAGATGCTTTCTGCAAAAGTTTTAATGTACTCCTTACAATCCCAGGGCTGGTGTCATTTACTTCATCCACCCAGTTGATGATTTAATCATATCTTCATGTTTAGAATATGTTTAAGTATTCTTAGCCTGAATATATTTATACATTTTCACCTTACCTAACCATAAAACAATTTTCTGCCAAAATTTGCTGATTTGAACTGACTTGAAAAATAAAAGAATAAGCCTAAAAAGACTTCTGTTAATTCAAAATTTAAAAATAGATGTCATAAACCACATACACTAAAGATCAGTGCTTTAGTTCAATTCCTACTTATTCTTGCTTTATACACAATGCTAACAATCAGGCTTTGTGATTATAATTATCTATAAGAGATTCAAAGCTAGAAGACAGAAAAGTACTTCTGGATACCAATACAATAAAATAGTTTAACATCAGTTATGGAAATAAAATAAACCTATATATTAATAAAACAGGCACAGAAACTTGAAAATTAGTCTAGGTCCACTTACATCATATTTTATAGCTCACTGATATGTTGATGTCCCAAGGTTATGAATAAGTGAAATTGTGCATAATAGAATCTAAGCCCACAGGAAAGGAGCAGGTTTCTATCTGAAATTATTTCTTTTTTTTAATGCCAAGTTTAAATGACTAAAAATTCAACGAAAAAAAGCACAGTTATCAAAAAAGGTTTATTCTCTAAAGACTTTGAAGCCGGTTGTCTGTGTCACGGATGTGCTGACTTTTAAAACTGTAAGTTTTCTAATTGAGAAGATGTATCTACAGTTTATACATTTTAGAATAATAATGTTTTAAAAATTAAAGCTTGAGTGGAGAGATGGGGAGGTAATGGGGGGATAAGGACACATATGTGATACCATAAATAAAGAAATTAAAAAATAATAAAGTTTTGCTCCTTTACATATTACTCAAATCAAATGATGACTTCCAATTTATAATTTGGACAATAAGATAAACGGACACTTGCATTTGGTCTGAAATGAAAAATTATTGAACTGCTGGGTATTGAGGCGTTCAGGGGTTTGGTTTCATTTCAGAAATCTGAAGGATGGTCCAATCTTTTTCTAATGACTTTTCCACAAAATTAACCTCTGAGCGGCCCCTTCTGCTCTAACCTAAACCAGATGTTTTGTGTCTTTTTTTTTTAATGTATCTTTTCTCTTTCCTTAACTAGTGAAAGCTAATAGTTTAAAGTTCCAATTACTGTTATCTTTAAAAGTCCTGTTTATGTTGAGTGAGCATGAGTAGCATGTCAAATGATGGAAATCGTGCAAAAGCAAAGAATGAAAGTCCTATTTAACACATGAGTCCCTTGTCAATCTAAGTCAATGTCTTTTTGGGGTTTGATGAAAGACCCCATACAAAGGTAACAGAGGCCCACTTATTGCTTCATGTATAATTACCCCAACTAACATTCATGATCTTTTGGGGCCCAGACCATGTCTTTTTTTTTTACATGTTTTCTTTTTTATTTGATTTTACTTCGGTGCACATTCTCAGAGTTCCCGGTTCAGAGTTAGGCCCTTCTGTGTTTACTTAATAATTTATTTTTACAAATTGCTCTTGTTAGGCCATAAATCTTATTGCCAAGATATGTCTTGGGCTCCACTGATGCCAACAATAAATTAGTAAAGCCCAGATGAAGGCTCTATGACTCATTTAAAGTGGTGATAACTTCTACACTACGAGTATGTAGTCATGGTTTGTTTGATTGATTAGACTCTGGGAATGAATCTAAGGGCATGCTTTTGCTTCAAGAACATTTATTATAGTGATATATTCCCTGAAAAAGTTACCAGAAAGAAACTGAGTTGTAGCATGACTTAATCGCACACAATTGTTCTTACTAGAGTTCATTGTTTAAACTGCGTAGGCCAATTAAAAGACAAAACAATGAACTATTAACAGTTTTTTAAAAATTAATGGCTTGTCAAAATAGAGAAAGAATCATAGATAGAGAGCCTATAGAAAGCTCCGGTGTAGGGGGTGTTGAGGGGTGAAGGGATTGAGCAAAAAGCAAAAAAGAGAGAGAGAGAAGACATGGACATGGACATGGACAATGTGGTGACAGTGGTAAGAATGAAGGGCATGGGTGGAGGTGGAAGAGAACATAGAGGGGATAAATGGTGATGAAAAAATAAAATAGTTTTTAAAATAAATAAAAATTAATAGCTTGGTATGAATTTTTACACATAAATAAGCAAAAAGTTACCTCTAACTTTAATAGGACATTTTGTTTTATTTTTGTCTTCCCATCTTTATTTTAATCAAATGTTACTCTGTATTAATTTAATGAATTCCACATGAATGGTGCCAGTTAAAGAGTGCCATTACTCTCAAGTATGGCTTTGATGACATCCCGTGAGGAATGGATTGCCTACCTTGACTAACAACAAGTAAATTTGCTAATCCTTGAGGCTTAAGGTCTTCTCAATATGATAGTATTATAAACATGGGGATGCAGGTGAGATCAAAACTTTCCAAAAGAAACCATGTGCCCCTGATCATGGAGCCATCCTGGCAATCAGAGCACCTACTGACGGTGGACCAAAGCAGCACAAGGAGCCTTATCTCTTGAAACAGAGACTGTTCCAGGGTGACAAGCACAGCCTAGCCTCTGTTTTAAGAGGTAAGGCTTCCAACAGTCTGACCCATGGCTCCTTATCTCTGGGTCTGTTCTTGTTCATTAGTCTATGTTGTTCACCATTTCCCCTAGATGAGTTGTTGGATCTCAAAGGGAGGGTGGGGAAAAAAGGGAGAGATCAGCCAAAGGACTTATGTGCACACATATGAGCCTAACCAGTTGTCGAGGACAACAGGGGAGTGGGGGCATGAGTGGGGGGGGATTGGAATGGGGGTTGAGGACAAATATGTGATACCTTAATCAATAAAGAAATTAATTTTTTTAAAAAAGAAAAGAAATAAGGTTCCCTGTGCTGCTTTGGCCCATTGGTACTCTGAAAAAGTTAAGGCCACGTTGAAGCCAATGTTGGAGTTAGGACTTCCTCTAATAAGTCAAAGGGTCTGGCTGAAAGACTCTTACATCTAGCATAAACCAAGCCTCCTGTAGTTGCTGCCTGCCATGGAAGACTTCAGAGTAATGCTAACAAAAGACAATCTGCTCTCTGAGTGCTAGCCGGAAGCCAGGGAGTGTATCAACTCCTCATTCTTAACCATAAATCAGTACAAATGGGATTGGGGGAAGCACCGGGAAGTCACATTTTCCTTCTTTAACGAATGCTCAGGCTAATCTAGTTCCAGGTGAAGATAACCTTGGGCTGGAGCTTGAGGGAATCAAGGTCCTTTAGTGCTTTTTGCTTGCTATAAAAACTGTTCTGTGCCCTAAACCTTATGGCCTAAGGTATGAATCCTCATTAGGTAACATGTATCTAGCACAGTGAATTTTCCAGCTAGCATTTTTGGGAATCCACTATGTACTAGACCAGGGATTAGCAATCTTTCCCTCATAAAGATCCAGAGAGTAAATATTTTAGGCTTTGTGGAATCCAGTCTCTATTGCAACCACTCAGCTCTACCATTGTGGTGTGAAAGCATCCATAGACAAACAGTCATGAATGAGTGTGGCTTTAGTTCAATAAAACTTAATTTACAAATGGTTTGAATTTGGCTTATTGGACATAATTTACTGATCCATATGCCAGATACAGAATAAACTCTTGACATATGTAATCACATATATTCTTCCTAACCTCATCCCCTCAGTTGGCATCATTATTTCATTGCAGACAAAGAAACTGAAGCTCAGAGAGGTTAAGAAACATGTCCAAAGTCACACAGCTAACAAGTGGTAAAGCCAAAATTCACACCTTCACAGTCTCTTCTTTGTTGTAATTTAAAGGATACTTTCTACTCTTCATCAATATGAGCAACATATACAGATTTAAGTGTTAATTTTTAAAATAAAATTTTTCATAGAAATCTTTCTAATGTTTTTACAGCTCAGACATGTGTATACACAGCAATAATTACAGAAGTGCACATAACAGAATGATGCCCTTGGGCTAGGAGCACTGCTTATCAATATACTGATGGTTTCAATTATTTTCTATCCTGGCTGCCTCCCATCTTTCTGGCTCCCCTCAGCATTTCTTTCTGCTGTTCCATTTCAACAATGTGCCCTCTGCTATATTATACAAAGAACTGAGGTTATCAAGTTAAAGAGGAGAGTGCTACAAACTAATATGCTATCAGTAGGTTCTGGTCTATGTGTAGCTTCCTTGCCTCTTTCCTGCATGGGATTGAAAGAAATAAAATTGCCATTTTTGTATGTCAAAAGTGGCAGTTTCACAAAGGCCAACCTAATAACAGAGAGTGTAGACACTGAGATATGAATTTCACCTGGTGCTCATGAGTTTTCCTTCTATTTACTTCACAGTTCATGGTTACAGATGATTAAGGCAGCAGTAGACAGGCTGCTAGGAAAATGGGCTAATCCTATATAATAAAAGGCTAATATGCATATCAACCGAACGGCAGAATGACCGGTTGCTATGATGCGCACTGACCACCAGAGGGCAGATGCTCCCACAGGAGGGACCCCACTCAGCCAGAAGCCAAGCTGATGGCTGTCTAGTTCACTAAGGATGTCCAACATCCCCCAAGGACTCCTGGACTGTGAGAGGGCACAGGCATGACTGAGGGACTCCCCACCCATCCACCCAAGAACACAAATTCCATGCACCAGGCCTCTAGTATAGAATATTTCCTCAAATCCATTGCATTCTACAATGCCAGGGTCACAGGGCCAGAGTCAGATTGCCTCTCCACCAGTCGCTTGCATAGTGAAACAGTTGTTATCCCTACTTTTCAAAATTCATCTTTTCAGGATCTTTTGCAAAATTGTCTCTTCAATCTTCTTTATTAGAATGATGCAAAGCAGTCAGATTGGCTTCATCATCACATAAGATAGTGGGGAGTGAATCACCCAATGGAATGAATAAACATAGGAAAGAAACTTGGTAACCTGGGGAGGGGAGCTCCTAAGACTCCTAAAATATCAAAAATTTTACTTAAAAAGAAGGGCTTTGACACAAAAGGACTATAAAATGCATATGTTTCTCTCAGTTCAAAATGGGGGTGACTTCTAAAAAGGGGGGGGCTCTCTGTGAGTATGTGCACATAGGGCTGATCTTATTTTCCCTTACACTAAAAACAAATCAATTTTATAAAGAAAGAGACAAGGAAGATGTGCTGTCTCCAGATTCAAATTTCTAGGGGTAACCAATAGAGACATAGATGATTTTTGAAGACGAAAATCAGTATTGATAAAACCTTCAAAATAAACCAATAGAAATAACAGACGTTAATGAAAGGGTTGATAAACACTGGAGATTCAGGCATCTTCCTGCAAAGTAGTAGAAAGTACAAGTTAAGAAAAATTAAAGATTTAAATACTCACCTAAGGATATTTTCAGAGAGTGAAAAAGAGAAAGAAAAACGGAGAGAAACATGGATGTGAGAGAAACACATGTATTTGTTGCCTCCCGTAAGAGTCCTGACCAGAGCCCTTGCCTGGGAGGAGCCTGCAACTGCAGGCACATATCCTTGACCAGAATCAAACCTTTGACCCTTCAGTCCCTAGGCTAATGCTCTATTCACTGGGCGATTAAAGATTTTTAAATATTTACCTTGTTCTCCACCTGGACAGTGTCACCTTCCCCCAGCACTGCTGTGTGATGAGGTTCTATTTTTTGTTGTGCATCATCAGGCCCTATAAAAAAGGTGACCCACTCAATACAACACTCATCATAGTGCATTTTTCATATGGATACAAATCTGCTTAACTACCTAGTACCATAAAATTCATTTCACTTCAGAAATAACAGACTTAGGATTTTTCTTAAATCTCTTGGTTGATTAAATGTACATTATTAAAGTCTGATACTGGCTGGTTTCCATTGCAGAAAAGAACTAGGAGGTGAATATTGCATTGTGCTTCTTCCATTTATACTTTTTTATGTAATCATTTAATAAGCAAAGTCCTTGACATCACATACTAAGAAAAGTTTTTCCTTGAGTAACTTATAAGCCTCAGAAGAATTAATCATATTTAGGGAAATGAGTAAATGCTATCATCAAGTATTTATTGAGCACCTACAATTTCTAGTACTGAGAAAATACAAATAAAATGCAAAGCAAATTTCTTGTATACAAATAATTCAAGATGTCATTGGCAGAAACAAAATAAGATTCCCAAAATAATAAATAATTCAATTGAAATATAAGTTAGATAGCTAGTGAACTATGAACAAGGCCCAGTGCTAAATGCTGTGGGAGGAAGGGGGGATCTTCAAGATGGATACATTTCTATCCCTTCGGTACTAAGACACACAGATGAAATAATACAAATGAAATTGTGTCTGAAAGTGATAAGCAAAGTTCAATGAGAGAACAGAGAATGCACGGGTTAATTCAGGTCTAGGGACCTTAGGAATTTGTTGTGGAGGAGCTATGACTTGAACAGAGCTGTACAATGCTAGATGAACCACACAGAAGGCAAAGTTAGGATGGATGGCATTCTAGATAAGAGGACAGACTGTGCAAAGGTGTAGGGCATCTCTGGGAGAACAAAAAATCTTCTACCATTGCTGGAACATTCTTCCAGGAAATATGATGAAAAAGACGAGAAAAGTAGATGAAAAAAACTAGATGAAAAATATTATAGATCAAAGTGAGACCTGAGGGCCATGCTCATCCATAGAGAATGGAGGGCCTTTGATGAAAGTGCGTGAGTGTGTGTGTGTGTGTGTGTGTGAGAGAGAGAGAGAGAGAGAGAGAGAGAGAGAGAGAGAGAGAGAGATGTATTTTGGAGAAATAACTCTTGGAGCAGAGCATAGACTAAGTTGCGGGGGTAAGATTGAAGTTATGCTAACCTATTGGGAGTTTATTGTAACAATCTAAGTGGAAATGAATTATAGTCTGAACTGAGAGAGTGGACACACAAAAATAGGGGTGGATTTGAGAGCTAGAGTTGCGAAAGCATCTAAAGGATTTGGCAACAGTGGGAGAGAGAAGAATCTAATATGATTCTCACTAGGAGTAGAATAATATAGTGACCTGAAGATTACAACAGTGGTTTGTCAAGAGCAAGCTAGAGAATGAAGATGCTAAGGCAAAATAGAACAACCATGGGTATGGGCAACAGAAAGTTCTAAGTTGGGTAAGAACCTCAGAAAAATGTCTAGGCAGATACTACTACAGGACAATAATAATCAATAAGGAAGTGCTTAGTGAAGTAAAAATAATAGCTGAATGAGTTATTATATAAACAGAAACAATTTTTGAATTTTGTGAATATTGCTTGGAGTCCAAATATAGCTATATTTTCTAGAGAAATCCTCCACTTTGCTGATAATCTATATGAAGCAACAGGGTTCATTCTGATGCATGCAAACATGAAATAGGATTCTATAATAGGGAAAGAGTTCTTAACCCAGAGTCAATGTGCTCCCAAGGTTCCCAAGGGATCTGTGGATAGAATTCAGAGCAGTCACGAACTAGGATGGGAGATAAATTACATCTTTATTTTCACTAACACCTAACTGAAATGTGACCTTTCCTTCAGTTATGAAAATAGCAACAAAGCACAGTAGTATTAACTGGACCAATGACTCTGTCTCCAGTAGAAACCACAGATGTTTTCGTATCACATTACAGTGTTACAGCTGTCTCAAAATACACTTGATGCTAATCACTAATTAGAATTCAGAGTAGACCAACTGCTGGGTCATGTTATTTCAAATGCCATTAGAGAAACACACACATAACTACATCACAAACTTGTTCTTTTAACATTTTAATAACTTTAATGAGTTAAAAAATACATTGTTCAGAGGTGGGGCCTTGACAAATGTCAAAAGGGTTCATGGCACAAAAAAAGTTCAAGAACTTCTGCCCCAGAGATAGGGGTGTGCTAGTCAATGTTTAAAATTAGTTTTTGCCTCTAAGGTTTAGGAGGAGGGAAATAAGAGACCAACCAAAGGACTTGTACACATGCATATAAGCATAACCAATGGACACAGACAGTAGGACAGTGAGGGTATGTGCTAGAGGGTGGAAGCAGCTGGGGAGAGGTCAATGGAGGGGGGGGGAGGAGACATGTAATGCTTTAAACAATAAAGAATTTAAATTAAAAAAATAAAACTAGCCGAAACCGGTTTGGCTCAGTGGTAGAGCGTCGGTCTGAGGACTGAAAGGTCCCAGGTTTGATTTCAGTCAAGGGCATGTACCCGAGTTGCGGGCACATCCCCAGTAGGGGGTGTGCAAGAGGCAGCTGGTCGATGTTTCTCTCTCATCGATGTTTCTAGCTCTCTGTCTCTCTCCCTTCCTCTCTGTAATAAATCAATAAAATATATTTTAAAAAAATAAAAAAAATAAAACTAGTTTTTGAAGACGGGGGAGAACCAATCTGATGTGCAGTGTGTGCCAATGGATGTGGTGTAAATGCTCCCACTGTGGTCAATTTCAAGCTACCAATGTGAGGTCAGGGAAGAGGTGCAAACCAGCTCCTGCAAGCTGGCAGAAGCCAACCCCAGCATACCACTAAAGGTTTCTTCTCCATCCAAGATTTATGCCAACAAATGCCATAGAAGTGAATGATAGAACCCTGTTGATTTTACACACATGCAAGGATTTGACAATAAATGAGAGTTCTGGGAATCTAAGAATAATCTCATTTAAAATCAGGTAATATTTTTAACTGTGACATGGAGCAGCATTTTATTAAGTGTGCTTTACTGAGATTTTCTGGGAGCAATGAATCATGTCTTTACCTTCAATTGATTCATACATAAAACCCATTACTCACGTGGTCTACTCCTGGCCCCTAATTTATCATGCAGGATGGTTCCTGATACATAGACACAAACAATTTTGCAGCCCCATGACTATATTTTATTGGAGTAAGCTGGCAAGAGACAGCACTCAAAAAGAATGCTGGATTGGGATTTATCTGCACCTCCTATTAGGGGCTTGCTTGACTATGGTCTTCATTGGTCTGTGAGAAAATCTTTATTTAGAAACAACTCATGTTTTCCTATGAGTTCTTACTCTAGATTTTTTTAAAATATATTTTTTATTGATTTTTTTACAGAGGGGAAGGGTTAGGGATAGAGAGTTAGAAACATCGATGAGAGAGAAACATCTATCAGCTGCCTCTTGCACATCCCCTATTGGGGATGTGCCCGCAACCAAGGTACATGCCCTTGACCAGAATCGAACCTGGGACCCTTCAGTCCACAGGCCTATGCTCTATCCACTGAGCCACGCCAGTTAGGGCTTATTCTAGCTTTATAAGAAATGCCATTTCTGCTTACTGTCTTGCTGATCCCAGAGAGGAAGCACAATGTTGATCCAGAAGAGCCCCTTTGAAATGCTCCCCTGGAAGGGAGACCTTTCTTACAGATACTGGAGTCAGGTTTCCAGGTTAATCATTCTAAGTGTACCTCACCTGCTGTATTCTCTTGTGAAATATTTAAAACAGGATCAAGGAAAGCAAAGACTGAGTCTATCATCAGGTCATTTCTATGCTATTTAACCCATCTGGTTATCTCCTGAGAATGAAATAAGTTTCCATGAAAATGTATTTTATTGTTTCTGACTATTTTGAATTATAAATGGAGCCAAATCAGATAATAAATAGTTTCCATTGAGAAGCTTTGCCAAGAATGTTAAACCTAATAGTGCAGTTAAGGAAAATTTAACTGAAAACAATTGAATTATAAATTGTTTGCCTAAAGAGTTATAAACGGGCAAAGTATTTTAAAACATATTTTAAAGTTAGTGCTACATCTAGAGTATGTGATTAATTGCTGTGTAGCTTTCCTCCACATGCTAGCTTTCCTTTTTTTCTTCTCTTTGTAAGAACTGCTGCCCCATTTGCTCTATTCCACGTGTTATGGAACTTCCATCATAGATTTTGACATCATCAATTTTATACATACAGTTGTAGCCTTCTTATCTAATCTATTCAAGCTCTTTAACTGAAAAAGACAAACTGTATTAAACATTTTATTTTAAATTAAAGTTTAAAATGATGCCTTCATTTGGCAATTTTTTAGAAAGAAAGCCAAGGCAAATCTGCTGATTGGATTGAAGCACTATCTTTCCTTATAAAGCAGGTACATAATGAGCCACTGAGATCCTTCTAGATTATTAGTTTCCCCCAATTTTTTACTGTCACCTCTCATACTAATTCAAAACTTTTCTTTAATCCATGTTTGCAAAGCATTTGACTTTGTTGTTCTAGAAAAACTAACTTTTCACATTATTTCATTAATTTACATCTTGTTTAATTAAACTGCATGATTGCAATTATTGGTGCAACTGGCATAAACAGATTTTGAGCACTCATAGCAACTGCCGAGTTCACCTGGATTTGGCTGGATGGAGTGGCCATGGGCAGGTAGCGAGGGGAGCTGATCATCATGGTACTCAGGGACCTCACTCAAGGTAATCACCATGGAATGAAGCACAGTAGTTAGACCAGTTCGTTTTGGGTAAGTGGAGGTCAATTTGGAAGGTTTCTAGTGTTTTTCCTCACCTTTCTTGATATCCAGGAGTCGTGTCAAACTTCTTACTATTACCCAGAACCAGAAGCAAGAACTGAGCACAAACTAAGCATGAATACCTAATTACTTATTTAAATAAGTTTGAAACATTTTACTACCCTTAAGTCAGTTAGCTGTCAATTCAATAATCACAGACAAATATTTTTTATTCCTAAATATATTTTCTAAGCCCCAACAGTATTAGTATGCTTAATAATGGTCCTTTAGGGGACTGGAATCCAGGCTGATACACTGTCCCAAGCTTCAGGGATACAGGATCTAAACTTTCCTATCCTTTTGATCTCCGTGTTAATGTGTAATAGCATTTTCATTAGTTACAAGGAAAGGTTCAATGCTGTGGGATCTGCTAGTTTTCTGACCATGTAGTTTTTTAAATTGTTTTCAGATTTTTTAAAAATTGTATACTGCAAAGATTTCAGCTGAGGGTTGATCACAGGACTTGCTGTCTTGTGTCAAAGATATCTCTCTCCTATACATTCTTAAAGCTACTGTTTAATTGCCAGCTTAGAAGGCTTGAAAAGAAAATGTATCAAAAATTAAGATCACGGACAAGCATAAGACATCTCAAATGCATATTTTTAAATTAAAAAGTATTAATTCTACTCAACTTATTTTATTTCTGTTAACTCCTTCTTTTCTCATTAGAAGGCCATTACATGGCTTCACTATACTCACTTTGAAGTTTAAAATGTTGGACTAACTTTGACATCCAGCATTTTCTACTGTTCAAAACTTTAGCTGTCAATACTCTAAATCTACTGATGTTCATCTTTCAAGCACTTCCTGCATCCATTACTATTTTAATAGTCCACCTAAATATGCATTTTATGGAACTGCCTCAGATTATTTTCTGAGCCCAAAGTGTTGTCTATTTAATGCAGCCCAATGCAAAAAATGTGCATATATGATAACTATTTAAACAGAATAGAGGTGCTTGACATTTTGACAAGAAGAATCACTTGATTATCAGCTCCTACCACCTGTGGCTGGCAGGTGCCCTTCTGGTTTTATAAGGAAGATAAAATTGAGGCAAAGTCAGAATGCATTTTCTGAATTCTCTCTCTAGATGTTATAAATCAGTATAAATTCAATAGCTATTTCTACTTTGTCATTTCTTTTTCTCTAGTGATTTTGTTTTTGCCCTTTTGTTTTTCTCATTAACATCTCTGTTAGGAGTCCACAGAAGGAAAGGAAGGAGATAATATTCAAATGAGGTAATCTGGCCAGTCACTCATTGGCTAAAGCAGAGGCCCAAGAGGCCCATTTTATGAACTGGATTCTCTCCAAGGTCCAGTTTACTCTGGACAGATGCAAGTTCACTCCCATGCTATAGACTGTGACCCCATTTCCTGCCAGATGTGATACATTTGTGGCTCATGTTCACGAGGTGGACCAAGCCAGTGAGTAAAGAGAACTCGGGAAAATATGCCTTACCTACAGAAAAACAAATCATTGTGTAATTCGTTCTTCCCCCTTGAACTATTGAGTTTTTTACCTATAAATTCTTAGACTAAAGGTCAGAAAACAAGGCTATGACTACTGATTAAAATGGGTTTTCAATTATTTGTTCATTTTCTCCCCTTTCTCCTTTCAACATTTTAACCAGAATCAAATGTTACTTTTGTAGTGCCCACTAAAAGTTTTTACATTTTAAATGGTTGAAAAATATCGAGAGTAGCATTTCATGATGTAACTTAGTTTTTTCAATATGACCTTTTCTCCTCTCTTTCCTTCTGATTCAAGCTGGCATCATCCAACACATGACTCACCTGCCTCCTTCCCCCTTTCACACCCACTCCCTTAATCCCTGAGCCTTCAGGACAACAGAGTTCTGGCCAGCATCAAATAATCTTAGGAACCAAGCCTCAGGTTGGTATATCTCAGAAACAGAATTTTAGTCAAACTAGAGGTAATATCTAGGCCTCAGTTGCGTTTCACTCCAGACATAGAAAAGCAGAATGACCCCACTGACCACATCCTTAGGAACCAGAAAGAGCAATGCAATGACTGACATCAGGACCAGCTACAATGATCAGCTACCTCCTATCCCAGCACTGACCAGTCAATAAAGACCCAGACCACAACTCCCTTATCACCATGATTAATGTTTTCCCCCTATATAACCCTCCACTAGGAGACATGGGGAGCCAGATGTTAGCACTCTGGCTCACCTGTGCCTCCAAAATTAGCACCATTTCCTTAAATAAATCTTTATTTGCTATAAACTCCTATTGGGCTTTGATGTACGCAGGCAAACAAACCCCTTTAGTTCAGTAATAATAACAAATAAAAAATACATGAAATTCACATTTCAGTGGCCATAAATACGGTTTTATTGGAACAGCCACCACAATTATTTCCATATTATTTATGGCTGCTTTTATACTACAAAGACAGGAATGTAAAAATTAAGATAGCTAGGAATAAACTTAGCTAATGAGGTACTCAGAAAATGACAGGATCCTGAAAAAAGAGATAGAGGAAGACATGAACAAATGGAAGAACATACCGTGTTCGTGGATTGGTAGAATCAACATCATTAAAATGTCCATACTACCTAAAGCAATCTATAGATTCAATGCAATCCCCATTAAAATACCAATGGTATATTTCAAAGACCTAGAACAAACTCTCCAAAATTTCATATGGAATAATAATTAAAAAACAACAACAACAACAACAACAACAAAAACGAATAGCCACAGCAATCTTGAAAAAAAGAACAAAGTTGGAGGGATCATAATACCAGATATCAAACTATATTACAAAGCCACAGTTCTCAAAACTGTCTGGTATTGGCACAAGGACATATAAACCAATGGAATAGAACAGAGAACCCAGAAATTGACCCAAGCCATTATGTTCAATTAATATTTGACAAAGGAGGCAAGAACATACAATGAAGCCAAGACAGTCTCTTCAATAAATAGTGTTGTGAAAATTAGACAGATAGATGCAAAAAAATTTGAAAATAGACCACCAACTTACACCATACACAGAAATAAACTCAAAATGGATAAAGACTTAAACAGAAGATGGGAAAACATAAAAGTCTTAGAAGAATCCATAGGCAACACAATGATGAAAACATTTCCTATCTAACCCTTTACAAAAAGTTTGCTGCCCCTGATTTTACTCATTCTGCCCACTCATTTCTGATATCCTTACCACCTTAGGAATCATATGCTTTCTTGATCACTTTTCATTTGTGCAAGATTATTTTGTTTCTCCTGAAATCATAAGTCTGGGATGCTACCTCCAAAAAATGGTTTGTGTGCACATGGTCCTATGATACGACCATAATTTTTTCACATTTTCTCAAATGCTAAAATAAATGAATTTTGCTTCTGACCCATAATTCAAATGCTATTCAGTAAAACAGGGATTAAGCCCATTTCTGCTGTATAAAATCAAAATACATGGGTGTTACTATATTTCAGAAAAAAAAAATTATTTCAGGCAGTTGAAGACTTTTGGAGAAGATAAAGAATGGTTTAAATGGCTCTGGGTGTGGCCTTTATATATTATCAGTAAGCCATCTGTCTGGGGCTAACAGTATATTGCCCAAGGAGGTGGCTAAGTTAGGGCCCAGGAAGTTCAATGTGGAAGAGATTAGCCTACCAAAGTGTGGGTGGAAAGTACCCAACTTCAAGAGGGTCTCAGAAATAGGATTCTTGGCCTGCACCTTGGAGCAGTCAGGTGCTGTTCCCCACCCCCCATCTCCACCACCCATCACTGTCCATATGGCGCGTAGGAAAGGGGGGGGGGAAGGCTGGTTCTTTTACTTTAGGTTTTTCCAGAAGCAAATCCTTTCATGCATATTTGAGTACAAGGCGTTTATTTGGGAGGCAGTCCTAGGCAACACCAGTCCAAGAAATTTAGGAAAGGAAAGGCAGACAATGAAGGGTGTGTTATCAAACACACACCCACAGTGGACTGCTTGAACATAATCCCACAGGAAACTTTAGGAAAAGGCCTCACTCACAGGCTCAGAGTCATCCCAACTGATGAGTGAGGTAGGTCCCAGGAATGTTAATTCTCCAGCACTGACTGGGGTTAGAAGAGCCTTCCCAGGTTTCATAGAAAGCCTCAAGTCAAGGGACATAGACATTACTGACAGTAGGAAGTTAGTCAGTGGCCCTGAGGAGCTAGGATGACAAGCTAGATGGTATGGTCACTGCACTGTCATTGTACAAAGAATATGGGGTAGAGTGTAGGGAGTGAGCTTGGTTCTGGTCCTGGAGCTAACCCTGGCAAGTTAAATAACATTCTTTAGACTTCACTTTCTTCATCTATAAAATGAAAGTTGCTTGAGTCTTGAACATCCTTTCTAGACTAGACTCAACAAGTGACATACTAGTATACACAACCCTTAGAATAAGAGAAAACCACCTTTCACCTCATGAGAAATAGATTTCTGCTCCCCTTGAAGCCTGCTAGAACTCCATCCCTTTATCAGTCTGGAGGTTGTTAAGATCTTAGCCAAGTGTCAACCCACATAATCATGCCTGGATCTTATATCTACACACAGGCCACAGTAAAAAAAAAAAAAAATGGCTGATGTCATGACTGGTGTTTATCTTCTCCTCCCTCTATGAACATGCTGGAAGCTGAATGGTGACCCATCCTGGGTGTACTGGGATATACTAGGATGTAAAGGGAGCTGATGCTGGACAGAAGGAAGTGTAGTATTCAATTACATAAAAAGGATCATCTTTCCTTACCTTCAGTAATTTAAGTTATATTGCAATGGAACCCAAAGCAGCATACACATCACTTACCAATATATGTATTTCCAGAAATGGTATAAATGAAGCTTGTCCACCCTGAAAAAGGACCAGCAAAATTAAAAAGTTAGTGTCTAGATTACCAAAAGGAACAAAGATATAACAATATTTAACAATATATGTCTATAAGAAATATAAATATATAAATTTATAAATTTATATAACAGATATAAAAGATAAATTTGGAGGTGAAATACTTTATTTCCTTTTAGATATTGACTTAAAAATTTAAGTTGAGTGAGCTGTTTAAAACACATACACTCACACATGGACACACACACACTCCTAAACCTAAATGATTTGGCCCCAACTTTTGTAGACCCACCCAAATAGACAGTGTACAATTTGCTGGGCTATATATCTATATAGATCTATATGCCAACTGCTGTTTTAATAAGCTGTCCCTTCCAGTTCTAATATCATGCTAATAGCTGCAACACTCCAATCTGGCTCATCCATAGTTCAGTATGCTTCTTTCTCTCCAGGAACAAAATGCTAGACATATGCTTTCCTTTACTTAGTTGCACGTTAGTTTTCAGTGAACTCATTTCTTCTTATTGATCCTAAAATAAAATATGAGATCCATGGATGCATAATCCATGGGTCCACAAATGGGTTTTGAACAGCCTGTGCACTCCCTGGAACTGTCTGTGCAATTTTTCTAGTGTGGAAACTTTTCTGTGAAGAGGGAACTCAGCACTCATCAGATTCCTACTGTGACCCATGGAGCCAAGAACTCAGAACCATGAACCTTTGGAACCTTTGGATCCAGATCTTACCAGCACTGGATTTTCATGGACATTTATGTATTGTACTCATGGTCCAGAAGAGATGATGTGGTGCCACTGAGAGACATGAATCTATAAATGGCAAGCTCAAAATGGAATTATGATGTCACTCCATGCCTTCAGTGGAAAGGGAAAAGATTCGAGAGGGGGTCAAAAAGAGACAAAATGGGAGACATGTCTGTAATACTGTCAATAATAAAAAAGGGGAGGGGGGAAAGAAAGGGAAGGAAGGAGAAAGGAGGGGAGGGGAGGGAAGGGGAGGGGACGGGTGAAGAGAAGGGGAGGAAAAGACTTAGGAAGTGAATGCAGGGCAGCCTTCAAGGTGGAAGAGCAGGGCTCTAACTGAGTCCTCTAGTCAAGTAGAGGACACAGTTTTTCCTCTCTGAGATTTTATTAGAATAAGTTTTAAGGTCTTTGGAAGTAACACTATTTGCTCATATCTCATTCACACTTTTTCTCCCTTATTGGCCCACTCTCTCAGTCTCCTAAGTTCAGTCTATTATCATTTAGTGAACATTTACCACTCACTGTGGGTAGAGATAGGAAAATGAATAAGGCACAGCCAAATTTTCAAGTCATATAATTCAGGGAGGGAGGTTCATGGTAGATGTAAAAATACATGCTAACAATTTACAGCCCCAATTGCATGTGCCCATCCAGATACTAGAGTTCCCTCTCTGCTTTGTACTGATGCTAAGTTTCCCTAGTCCTAGTTAGCCTCATTTATACTAAAACTCTGCAACAAAGCCCATGCCTTCCCTTCCTTAGCTGCTTTTTAAAATTTTCACCATTAAAAATTGTTTAAATTATTCAAAGTATAAATATATTTATTGATTTTTCCATTATAAAAAGTAATACACATAACTTGACAATACAGGTGTGGACAAAAGTAGGCTTATAATTGTGAATGAAATTCTTTTGAGTTAATAAAGCTATCATAATAATCTGTATGCATTCTCCTGTATGAACAACTGTAAACTCTCTTTTACCCATGCCTGTATTTTAATACCGTGAAAGTACCATGTGATGTTATCTAAATAAAAAGCATCTTTCTGCAATCTTCATACTTACTCTGACATGAATATTGTTAGTAATTCTGTATTTGTACTTTAAGTTTCTTTTATATTTTTTGCACTACATATTGTTTGCTTAAAATGAGAATTAACTCAATGATCTGGTTGGATGCCTTTTCATGTAAAAATTTAGATAAATAACTCATCCTTGGGAAGGACTGAAAAGCAGTCCATTGTAAGGACACATCATAATTTAAGGTATTAAAAACTAATGGTTTCTGAATTTGACAGAACCTCAAAGTTTTCACCTGCTCAACTGGGTTTTTATTTGGGATTATTTTGATTATTTTATCTAATATCATGTCTCCTCTACCCCCTTTGCTTCATTCCTACTCACCCTTCAAGCACAAAACTAGTCTACCCCTAATCGCCTGGGTCTGCTTGGTTTCCCTGTTTATTTCTTACATGATCCAAAAGGACCAAACATTTGTTCAAAGGAATAGCCAAGTCAATCTAGCAAGTACATTCACCTATTTTGCCCTGTGAAAAAAAATCTTCTATTAGAATATAGAAGCCAACTTCATTAGTAATAACATAATTCATGTTACTAGTTGGAAGACACGGGGTTAGAGGGAACGGTATAGGAACAAGGGTTATTTCCTCCCCTTCCCCCCACTTCTTTTTAAAATGTGGTCCATCTGCTCTTGCTTCTGTTAAACTTAGATTAATTTCATCAAGCATTGTTTCTTAAAGCTACACCAAAGCATGAGCCAAATTGTTTAAGAACCAGCACATTTTATTAGAATTCCTTCTCTGCCTTGCATCAGCAAAGAGTTATCTTGTGAGATTTTTCAAATCCTTCTTCACTTTCTTCCCCCACCTCTCCTACCACTTTTCTGTCCTGCACTAGGAATGATAAGATCCTCACATTTTTATTCTGCTGTCAGAGGTCACTGGCCCTACAGTTTCCTGTCTTCTACAAATGTCCTCCCCAAGCTACTGGCTCTTTGCAGCTAGGAAACTCTTCCCTTTCCTCAGGCAATAAGAAAGAAAATGAGCTGGGATGGAAGTCACATTTTACCTCTGGCCCTGTAGGACAGTTTAATCAGTAACACATTTAAGTTAGAACTCCCTTAGTCAAACATAAAAAATGTAAAACTTTGCTTTTAAATATGTAAATCATTTTCTGTGGCATTTGCTCTCATTTCCATGGAGGTTCCCAATTCTTGCAAAGATCCCTGGTGAGAGCTTTACTTGACCTACATTCCTTGGCTTAATCCAGCTCATTTTCCTCCTGCCTCTCAGTCTTAGAGTTCATTAGTTCATTGAATTTTACAACTACTCCTTATACATATATGTGTTTTAGTAAAATAATAACAAAATAACCCCAAAATGTGTATATTTACATGCATATATATGTCAGTGTACAAAAGTAACTGTAGATACATCTGTGATTTCCCCTAAATGTGGTATATATAGAGAAGGTACCACTATAGGCTGAGAAGGGAGGAAAAGGGAATGTGGGGATGGGGATGAAAATTAAAAAAAGGGGAAAAGTTAATGTATGCTACCATGCTTTTTGTCATAAAAATTATGTATAAGGGTAGGCATATGTTTAAATGAATGATTTAATTTGTGTGTGGGGGGTTATACTTAAAAATAAGCAGAATGGAAAAAAAAGAAAATAATGGGTTTGAGGTTGATGACTAATGACCTCAGGTGTAACCATTTTTTCAAAGCGTTCTTTTTTTTAATCTTTATTGTTGAAAGTATTATAGATGTCTTCCCTTCCCCCCCCCCTTGCCCTTTCTACCCATTTCCCTTTCCATCTCAGGCTTTCAATACTCTATTGTTTGTGTTCAAGGGCACTGCATATATGTGTATAAATCCTTTGGTTAATCTCTTCCCACCCACTCCCTCCTCCTCCCCTCTTCCTTCTGAGACCCTGGAATCTATTCCATGTTTCCAGGCCTCTGGTTCTATTTTTTTATTTTTTATTTTTAATAAAATTGGTCTTAAGTTCCTGGGAGTTTTATATTATTCTTTGTATTTAAATGTCAGTGTAAAGGTAAGTAAGTATTCCATAGCAATACTTTTATCAAGAATTGAGTATATTGCGCTAGCCCAGTGGTTGGCAAACTCATTAGTCAACTGAGTCAAATATCAACAGTACAACGATTGAAATTTCTTTTGAGAGCCAAATTTTTTAAACTTAAATTTCTTCTAATGCCACTTCAAAATAGACTCGCCCAGGCTGTGGTATTTTGTAGAAGAGCCACACTCAAGGAGTCAAAGAGCCTCATGTGGTTCGTGAGCTGCAATTTGCCAACCATGGGCCTAGCCAGTTTGACTCAGTGGATAGAGTGTTGGCCTGGGATCTGAAGGGTCCCCGGTTTGATTCCAATCAAGGACACATGCTCAGGTTGTAGGCTCGATCCCCAGTGGGGGGTGTGCAGGAGACAATCAATCAATGAGTCTCTCTCATCATTGATGTTTCTATATCTCTCGCCCTTTCCCTCCCTCTCTGAAATCAATAAAAATATATTTTTAAAAAGAATTGTATCTCAATCAAAGTTGTGTGTACTATAATCAAAGATGTATGTATCTCAATTAGAGATGTGCTTGCACATAAGTAAGAAGGTCAGAGTTTGCCTCCAGGAACACTGAAGTCAATAGTAGCCAGGAAGTCAGGAGATGTGCATAAAAACACTGCCTTGTCCAGAAAGCCTTTATTTGGCCTTGATATTGGCTAATTGTTAGGTCTTGGTGTTCATACCTGTAAAATGAGGGAAGTGTTCCAGAGGGTCCTGCCCTAACATTCTATTATTTTCATAACTTGAAAGGACCCACCAATATTGGCTAGTTGACACATAATTTAACATAAACTGAATTCATAGACCTTTGTGCTGAGGTTCGGAATCAAGAACATTCCAGAGAAAGTACCATCCCTCCTTTCATTCCTGCAATGATCACTAAACCCCAGAACCCAACATACCTTTAGGAACAGGCTGGGAATGCTTTGCTCCTTGGTCCAATTTGAAGTCCAAATATAAGGTTGGTGTGCGAGTGTAAATCTTGGACTGAAAAGAAAGGGGAAACCATCAGCATCTTTCCAAGAATAGGGTTCTTCTTTACTTCAGCTGGGCCCTTCTAGAGGGCCTGGGATGTGAATCCATTATGTACAATTCCTCCTTTGGAAGGTGCAGTTAAAGTTGGGTAGCGGGTAGGGGCTGGATGGTTTGCCATTACAGCTCCCTCTTAAGAGTCTTGGTCTAAAAGTTAGCCTTCCTGGCTTTTCAATACGGTGACAAGCTATTTCAGATGGCAGCTGTCTCCAACAGCCATTTCTCAAATATGGTCAGATGTTAATCATTTACTGGCCAGTAGTTACTCCAAATTTCCACTTGATATTTCTCAGCCAACTGTATATTTCTTGCCTAGGTCTCAATAAAGCTATTTGTATTTTGAAATAAAAAGGGACCGGTAAGCATTTTTTATTTGTTCTAATTTGGACCTCTGTGGGGGAAAAAAGGTTGTCTACTATTGCTGGCTTGAAAAAGCCATGACTTCAAATGTAAGAAACGCAAACTTTTACAGGATTTTCCATTGTACACAGTGGCTTTGACTCTGGAAATGGTTCAATAGAGTTTATAATTCAATATGATACCGTTCTGAATCACTGGCATAGATCAAAACCCAAGGGATGATCACTGTTGCTATAAACTTGATGATGCCTCATTGTCTATCATAAAGCCCAAGTGTTAGTTTTTTTAAACTTAAAATACAAACAAAAAATGAAAAAGCACATAAAGCTATATTTGGCAAGGATATAAAGTAATTAACTTTCATACACTATTGGTGGGACTGTAACTTGGTATAAAACGTTAGAAAACTGTTTGGCAGTATGTAATACAGGTGAATATGTGCATAATCTTTGACCCAGCCTTCCAACTCAAAAGGATATCCCCAACAGAAATGTTTACTTAAAAACATGTACACAAATCTTGATAGTGATATTTTCAGTAACAGACAACAACTGGAAATAGTCTGAATGTCTTTAATGATAAAATAAATAATGAATTGTAATATACTTACACAATGGAATACTACATAGCAAGGAGGATGAATGAACCTAACCACAAATAATAAGTCAGATAAATTTCACAAGCATAATGCTAAGCACATGAAGGAAAACACACAAGATAATATACCATATTATTCCATTTCCATAAAGTTCAAACAAATCAAAGCTAGCCCTGACCAGTGAGGCTCAGTTGGTTGGAGTGTCGTTCCATGCACCAAGAGGTGTGGGTTCGATTTCCGTCAGGGCACACACCTAGGTTGTGGGTTTGATCCCTTGTTAGGGTGCTTATGGGAGACAGCTGATCGACGTCTCTCTCTCTCTCTCTCTCTCTCTCTCTCTCTCTCTCTCTCTCTCTCTTCTCTTTCTCTCCTCTCCCTCTCCCTATCTCTCTCAATCTCTCTCTCCCTGTCTCTACCTCCCTCTCTTTAAAAAAAAATCAGTAAACTATCCTCAGGTGAGGATTTTTTTAAAAAGCAAAATTAGTCTATGTTGTTAAAAGCCAGAAAAGTAGTTACCTTGGGAAGTTTGGTAACTGGATCAGTTTAAAAGGGGGCTTCTAGGGCCTAATAATGTTCTGTTTCTTTTATTTTTATTTGTTATTTTTTTTGTAAGATTTATTTTTAAGAAGTTGCAACTTAAATACAGTGAAATGCACAAACCTGAAATATAGTATACAGATTTTTCTTTGCTACATTTTGTTTTTTGCCTATCTTACCAAATAAAAGAGAAACATGCAAATTAACCATCACTCTGCTACGCCCACAGCCAATCAGAGTGAGTATGCAAATTAACCAACAAAGGTAGGAGTTAATTTGCATATGCGGGCTTGGAGCTGCCAGGAGGGGCATGAAGCCTGCTATGAGAGGAAGGGGAGCAGCGGAGGAAGCTATGGGAGCCATGCTCAGGACAGAAGCAAGGATTTCCTGGCTCCCCGGCGGGCTGGAAGTGGGACATGCTGGCTCCCTGGTGGCCAGGGATTGGGATTGCCGGCTCCTGGGCAGCTGGGTGTGAAGCCAAGGGAAGAAAGGTCTATTCTTGTATGAATATCATGTAACGGGCCTCTAGTATACCTATATCAAGCCAAAGGAGACTATCATACCAGAAGGCTTCCTCGTGTCCCTTCTGAGTCATTACCCCCAAAATTAATTTGCAAATTAAAAAAGTCCAACTTTTGAAAAATATGATGGGCTATTTCACAGTATTTGATACATTTTGATATATATAAACCTCTGAAAACATCAATTAAGATAGTAAACATATCCCATCATTCTTAGAAGTTTTCTCGGGCCTCTTTGTAATCCCTCCATCTCATACTCCTTATCCCCCAGCAACCATTGCCTGCACTTTATTAAATTTTATATAAATGGAATCATATACATGTAATTTTTGGTCTTGCTTAATTTACTCAATAATTATGTTCTGTTTCTTGACCTGGTTTCTGATTTCATGACTGTGTTCACTTGATGAAAATGCTCTGAGCTGTACACTTGATTTGTACATTTGTTTGTGTATTTGTTATACCCAAGTGGCCAGATTATTATGATCTCTGCAATGCCTTTTTCAGGAAGGGTGATTTGGTATGATTAAAGTGTACATTTGTATGCCTATTAAATTGTATAATAGATAATTATAAATAATGTTATCAGAAAATTATTCCCTTTCCTATGATTGTTTAGTGTACCGAAGTTTTGGGCTTTAAATGGTCTGGTAGGTGGTTTTATATGGCTTAGAAGGTCAAGATGCATCAATAGAGCTTCAAAAACAGAAAAGCAAATTTCCTTGTGCATACATAAGTGAAACCAGAAAGACCTGTGACATCAAGTGCAGCCTGAGGCCAAAGACTCACAATCAATCTGAGGAGCTTGAAACATATATAACACAAGGGCAGCACCAGCAAGATGTAGGAGCTGATTCCCTAGAATCATTAGGTGTGTGAGGCACCATATGGAAAGAATCTGGTTTTGCCTAATGAAGCCTTCTCAAATTACCTTTAAGAAGATAAAGGGTAAGTGTCACATAATATCAGATGACCCCTCTATATGAGCAACATTTTGTTCTCTTCCAGAAAAAGAACCCCTGTTTGGTTTAAAGGTCATCTCACATAGCAAAATTTTCACTGATACAATGCCTATGGCAGGAGAAACAAAGGAAAAATAAACGAATGGGACTACATTAAACTAAAAAGCTTCTGCACAGCAAAAGATACCAGGATCAAAATGAAAAGGGAGCCCAATGTATGGGAGAACATATCTGCTAATAATATAGCTGATAAGGAGTTAATTTCCAAAATATATAAAGTAATCATACAACTCAACAAAAGGAAGACAAACAATCCAATCAAAAGTGGGCAGAGGACCTGAATAGACACTTCTCCAAAGAGGACATACAAATGTCCAAGACAAATATGAAAAAATGTTCAATGTCACTAATCATCAGAGGGGTGCAAATTAAAACAACAATGATATACTACCTCACACCTGCCAGAATGGCTACCATCAGTAAATCAAGAAGGAACCCTAGCACATTGCAGGTGGGAATGCAGCTTGGCACAGCCACTATGGAAAACAGAGTGGAGTTTCCTTAAAAATTAAAAATAGGACTGCCATTTGCCTCAGTGATTCCCACTTGTGGGAATATATCCTAAGAAGCCAGAAACAGCAATCAGAAAGAATATATGCACCCCTATGTTCACAGCAGCTCAATTTACAATAGATAAGATCTGAAAACAGCCCATCAGTAGATGAGTGGACAAAAAAGCTGTGGTACGTTTACACAATGGAATACTATGCAAACTATAAAAAAAGAAGGCTCTCTTACCCTTTGAGAAGATATGGAGGGACTTAGAAAGTATTGTGCTAAGTGAAATAAGCCAAGGCAAGTATCACATGATATTACTTACATGTGGAACCAAATGAACAAAATAAACTGACAAACAAAATAGATCCAATGGAAGCATCCAACAGACTGAGGATTCTAAGTGGGAAGATGAGGGAGGAAAGAGATCAACCAAAGAACTTAAATTCATACATGCATAACCCATGGACATAGACAATAGTGGGATGAAGGCCTGGTGAGGGGTCAGGACTGGGGAAGAGGAGTGTCAATGAGGGAAAAAGAGTGACGTCTGTAATACTTTCAAAATGGGTCAGGGCTAGTTTTAAAAATTAAGAAAACACATATAAATGGTTTTCCTAACCTCTCCCTCAGTGGCAGATGCAGCATCCCTACCTACAACAGAGATTAATCACAAAGAGGTTCTTAGTTTAATTTTTACTAATATTCTCCCAGAATTTAGTCATAAAAATAATCTTGATCTGGAAACCAAGTCTTTGATGCTAGGATTGCCTTTCCTGCTGATTAGTGAAAAACTTTTCTTCTTCTGGGCTTAGTTCACTCATCTGAAAATCTCGTCTTGAGACTCACTGATGTTAAAGTCTATCTCTGATTCTAAAATTCTGAATCAGAAAATTAATGTTTTCCTCCACATTTTCATTTTTAAAATTTCCTTCTGACTTCTCAGACTAGAGCTATAGAAAAGCGAGATGTGGCTGGGGTGAGGAGGGCAACCAGGCCTATTCTTGCCCTCAAACTCAGTCATCAATCTTATTTTTAAATATATTTTTATTGATTTTTTACAAAGAGGAAGAGAGAGGGATAGAGAGTTAGAAACATTGATGAGAGAGAGTTATCAATCAGCTGCCTCCTGCACACCTCCCACTGAGAATGTGCCCGCAACCAAGGTACATGCCCTTGACCGGAATTGAACCTGGGACCTCTCAGTCTGCAGGCCGATGCTCTGTCCACTGAGCCAAACCGGTTAGGACTCAGTCATTAATCTTGCTGTCTAGGCTTGCTTTTACTTTTTCTCCTGCCTCTAATTTCTCAACCTTATTTGTGTTGTCCAAAAATAGTACTTTATCTCTTTAAGATTGCAACTACTTAGATACACATGTATGCGCGCAAAACACACAGAATTCTGTACTTATTTATTCATTC